CCCCGCGGAGGGCGTTGGCTCCAGGCCCGCGGACCGCCGATCCCCGGAGCCCGCCGCGCTCCGGACCTGAGCCTCCCTCCGTCGGTCCCTGGCCGAATAGGGTGCGTAGCAGGAATGTAGGCACGGGCCGAGGAGTGGGTCTGAGTCGTTCCGAGCCGCACACCTCGGTACGGCCTTCTCCGGCCTGACCTGTGGATATTAATTCATCCGACACCTCCTGCGCGTAGTGTATTGTAGCATCTCATTTTTCTTGAGGTGGAGAGAGAGCTTGGTGTGGAAAATGAGCGGTGGTGGTTTTTCTGAGGACGTAATTAGCCGCCCCGCTCCCCGGGAAGGGGCTGAGATGGTAAAACGCCCCCCTTTAGGTGGCCGGGGATGTAGCTCCGCAGCACAGCGCCTGCCTGGCGAGCGCGAGGTCCTGAGTTCGATTCCCGGTAACAGAAAAGCAAAGGCCCGTTTGCCGTTGGAGCCTGAGGCTGGGGTCAGTCTGTAGCTGCCGGCACTGTTGGTGGCTTTTTGTCCTGCAGCCCTGCTTGTTCTGGATTATACCGAGGGCAGCCTGGAGTCGCAGCTCAGCCGCATCAGCAGGGGGGCTTCGAAGCACCACTGTATTTAGATTTTTTTGATAACTACTTGCCTTAAAATACTATTTTGAAGATTCATTATTAGGTTGACTTGCCAGGCTTTTACTAGAAAGCAGGGAGAGCTCTAGGCTTTGGGATTTGAAGCCATCCGGGGTTGACTTCAGGCTTGCTGTCACATGTACTAGCTTATAATTCGGTGAAGTTAAAGCACTTCTGGCACGAGGAAGCAGTGCTGCCCAAGGAACCCCAAACAGATTTGACCTGTTCTCCCAGGCCCAGAGTGGTGTTTACATAGTGAAATACTTCCGTGGAGGACGCGGTGGCTGTGGCCAGAAGCCAGCTGAAACTGCCCGACTAGGAAGTATTGGACATTTAAGTGCCCCTTCTCTGGCCTTTTGCTAACAGAAGCTGTTTGTCTCAGGTGAATGGGACAGAATGCTGGGGGCGGTTTGGATTTTACTTTGCATTCATATCTGTCTAAAGTGCTGTGCTTCTTGACAATGATTTATTTTCTTTCGAAGTGGCTTTAGAGAGCATTTGGGAAAGATTAGACTTTTTTTGGTTAGTGGGGTGAATAATTTGGTTCAAGAAAAATGTACTTTGCCTGCCAATGGCAGCATTTTGGTAAAATGGTATTGCTTGGCTGGGTGTGATGAATTCCAGCTACTTGAGAGGCTGAAGCAGGAGAATCACACATTCCAGCGCAGTCTGGGCAACTTAGCCAGACCTTGCATTAAAAATAAAATAGTACTGGGGCTGTAGCTCAGAGGTAGAGTGCTTGCCCTGCAGCACAAGGCCCTGAGTTCAGCTCCTGGTACTGCTTGTGTGTCGCAAAGTGGCGTTTTCCTGGGTCTCGCTGGTCTCAGTTCCCTTCTTTGTCAAAGGAAAGCTGGCCGCTAGTGAGGCACGTGAGCCACGATGCCTCTGAGTCATTGGACATTCATTGTTTATCCTGCCGGGCTTCGGCCCTGGCTGCCTGCCACCCTGAGCCCACAGGTGCTGGTGCGGAAGGTAGCACATCTCGGTGCGGAGGGCAGGGAGCTCTAGCCCGGCAGGGAGGAGTCCGAGCGCCGAAGGGCTTTGCCGCCTTGCACACGATCATGGTTACTTTGCTTTTGGTTACCTAGTGCTGAACTTGTACAGTTACATAGCAAAAAGCTATGGGTTACATGATGCGTTAGAATAATTCAAAACGCCTACATTTGAGAGCTTTTCTCATGTGCAGATCTTCAGGCGTTCTGTTTTCAGAGGGTGTTTGCTGTCCCCAAATCATCATCCTTTTTTTTTAAAGGTAGGGACTTGCTGTGTTGCCCAGGCTGGTTTTAAACTCTTTGGGATTAAGTGATTCTCCTGCCGCAGCCTCCCAGGTGCTGAGACTACAGGCATGCACCACTTTGCCTGGCTCCCAACAAAGTCTTGTGACTTTTTGAGGCAGGGTCTCACAGTGCAGTGTAGGTTGGCCTTGAACTCATGGTGACCCTCCTACCCTCAGCCTCCCAAGTGCTGGGATTGTAGGCGTGCACCACCACACCCGGCTCTCCCCGCACAACACAGTCACCATGTTTGGCCTAACAGGAGAGAGGTGACCTTTGCAGTGGTGGGGTCATCAATGACTGTGCTTAACCAGTCGTGGCGGTTTACACCTGTAATTCCAACACTTAGAGGCTGAGGCAGGAGGATTTCTGTGGGTTCAAGGGCAGCCTAGGTTACGTAGTGAGTTCACATCAGTTTGAACTACAGAGCGAGGCCTTTTCTCCAAAAACAAAGCAAGCATGGTGGCGCAGGCCTGTAATCCCAGCACTCCGGAGGATGCAGAAGGATCCGCATGAGTTCCAGGCCAGCCTGGGCTACATGGAGAGACCCTGTCTCAAAACAAAAAACACCCAAACCCAGAATACTCAACCTCCGGTAAACATCTGCAGAAGGTGGCCCAATGCCTGTTCTTATCTGTGGCTTCCTTGACATCCTCTGGCCCTGAAGAAAGGAGCACCCCGATCTCATTATCTGCGTAGCAAAAGCGCTTTTGCTTCAGAAGTTGTGGTCCGAGGCTGTGGGTGCTGGGCCTGGCGCGTCACCTGTGTCCGCTGCACGGGTCAGAAAGGTGCCGCCTTGCCAGCACATCTGCATGGGGTGACGGAGTCCCCTCCTCCTCCTCCCTGCGCTCGGGTAACGGGTGCCCGGCGTCGCCGTCCGCTTGGCCACTGCGGACTGCACTCTGCCGTGCTGGTCGGGCCTGTCCACGCAGTGCTCGTGGGCTGCCTGCGGCTGGTCTCCACGGAGACAGCTGTTTTGTGCCCGCCCTGTCCGGTCCTGTTTCACCTGGTAGGCAGAGTGCAGAGGGGTCGCCAAGTCTCAGTTTGGAACGTGCCCTTTTGAGGGGAAGAGTGTGCCTTGTAACTTGTCTGTAGTGCCTTAGCCCAGGCCCGACCCTTGGAACTGAAGATGTGGCTGTGTGGAGGTAAGGGTCCCAAGTGAGGGGCGGAGCTGCCTGAAAAGTGCATTGTCTGCTGGCACCGTCCTTCCTGTGGGAGAATCTGAGCTTTCCAAGCATTACGTTGGGGCGTCGTTTCCGTAGTGAGTTAGATGCCTGAAAACGTTAATTTCTAACATCCACAGATTGAATTCTGGCTAAGTTATTTTCTCTCATTTCATGGACCACAATTGATACCTCATATGACCCTGAATACTATTTGTTTTTGTGTGTGTGTATATGTGTGTCGGGGTTTTTTTTTTTTTTTTTTTTCTGTCTTTTTTTGAGACGGGGTCTCAATATGCAGTTCAGGCTGGCCTGGAGCTCACTTTGTAGCCCAGGCTGCTCTCAAACTCACAACAATCCTCCTGCCTCAGGCTCCTGAGTGCTGGGATTACAGGTGTGCGCCACCACGCCCGGCCAAAAAAAATTTTTTTTTGGTGCTGGGAATTGAACTCAGGACCTTTCACTTACCCAGGAGGCGCTTGAACCGCTGAGCTATGTACCTCTGGCCAACGACCCTGAATACTATTTGAAGCACTGGCTTATTTCAAGATGCTAAGACTACATACAAGCATCTCCGACAGTTCTCCTCTGCCAGGGCCAAGTTTGCACCTCAAGAGACATTTGGTGTCATCTAGAGACATTTCTGCTGCCACAGCGGGCTGGGTAGGAGACGGGGCCAGTGCTCAGTGTCCTACCCACAGTGAAGACAGCCTGGTGCCGCTGCACCTGTCTCAGGAGAGATGAGTGTGAATGAGCTGATGTGGGGACAGGATGCTGTCACAAGCTGCCTTTCTGGTGGACGGCGCCCGGCGGCAGTGTGCTTTACAGTTCTTAATCGCACGTCATTAGAGGCGTCATCAGAGCTGCTGCACAGAACAGCGAGGGCTGTGGGAGGATGTGCTCAAAGTGAAGGGGCTTCATGGCATTGTGCCTTTTGCTGTCATAAATTCTTAAAAATTTAAATCCATCATATATTAAAAATATAAGGGCCAGGTGTGGTGGCACACGCCTGTAATCCCAGCACGTGGGAGGCTGAGGCAGGAGGATATTTGCCAGTTTGAGACCAGCCTGGGCTACAAAGTGAGCTCAAGGCCAGCCTGAACTGCATATTGAGACCACTTGAAAGGCTGAGGACTGTCATGAGTTTGAGGCCAGCCTGGGTACATAGTGAGTTCAAGATCAACCTGAACTGCCTAGTAAGACCCTGTCCCCACCCAAGAAAAGTCACCATGTAACTCCCAGCTCTTCCCAAGGTCAGAATGACCAGGAAAGGGAAATATTTTAGATTAACTCAGGACACTGAGGCAGCCAGGACAGTGCAGCTAAAGACCCTCAGGAAAGGACTCCAAGGCTGCTTCAGGGAGTGGCTAGGACAATCAGATAATTGTGCTTGAAGCTAGGGGGAATACTCTGAGGAGGATTTGTGGCAGTGTGTTTCACCATAATAAATTTTTTAAGAAATTTAAACATTCATGTAGTTTAGGTCATACTTCATATTTTTGTGAAAACTTTGAACAGTGTATTTCTCTCTTTTTTTGTTTAGTTGGTTGGGAGTTTTTTTGAGACAGTCGCACTGTGCAGTTCAGCCCAGGCTGGTCTCAAAGCGAGCAATCCTGCCTCAGCCTCCTCAGTGCTGGGGTAATAGGCATGCACCACTGTGTCCAGGGTATGTCTGTGTTTTTAAATGTCCATTTGTAGACAGAAACATTAGAGAAATTAAAGTGGATGTACCTGTTCAGACATGCATACGTGAAGGCATTTTATATATGTCTTTTTATTTAGTGACAGTAAAAACCATAATCCTGTCCCCACACTCCCTTTCCTGGCTAAGTGTTTAAAACCTGTGGAAGGGGGCGTGGCACCCCTCAGTTGGAGCAGTGGTGAGGTGAGCAGTAGTATAGGTAACCCCTCAGTGGTCACCTGGAGGAGTTACTGGGTGCTGGTTTGGAAACAGCACATCTGGCTGCTGTCGGTGTGGGCACCCGGTTTCCAGGCGTGGCTGATGAGGAGGAGGGTGTTACAGAGCCCCGACAGTGAGAGCCCCCGCTAGCCCGGGCAGCTCAAGTCCCGGCCAGCTGTTGTTCTGGACTTGGAATGGGGACGGTGTCTGGGGCCGGAGGAGCCAGGTTCTGCTGGCCCCGTGTTGCCGGGCGGCGAGTGTGGCCCGCAAGGCCGTCCTGCGCAGTGGTCATCCGTGCATGAGGCTTGGGGTAGTGGGTCCAGGTGCCCTTGTGCTGGCGGAAACAGTGCGGTCACAGGGTGTGGGGAGAGCGGGCCGCTCAGTGGCTGGGCTGTGGACGTGTCCCCAGGAGCGAAGGCGCCCTGACCGCAGGCTGCGGAGCAGTGCGTGAGCGGTGCCCCTCCGGAGTTCTCAGCGGCTCCGGGCTGCAGCCGTTAACTTTGTCTCTTTCTCTTGGCCTCTGAGCAGCTGACCCACTCGAGCAGTGGCTGCATCTGCTCATTAAAGAAAACACCTGCAGGGCATGGTGGTCCACATCTGTAGTCTCAGCACTCTGGGAAGCTGAGGCAAGAGGATCACAAGTTCCAGCCCAGCCTAAGCAACTGAGCGACTTAGTGAGACCTGTCTCAGAAAATAAAAGCTCAGTGAGATGGCTCTGGGTTCCCTTCAGTACATCAAGAAAATACCTGATGAATGTTTTGTTGAGTAAAAGGTAAAACTGGAAAAGTTCCAAGGCAAAGCTGTTTTCCTTCAGAGAGCTGGGTCTGCGTTTGGCCTTCGGTGGCACCGGTGAAGCACTGGTTCTTCTCAGTTGCGGGATAATTGGGATGAACATTTTGTTTTTGTTTTCAGGGTTCTGAGGATTGAACCTAGGACCTGGTATATGTCAGGCAAGCATTGTACCCCTGAGCTATACCCCCAACCCTTTAAAATTGTATTTTTTGGGAGCCAGTGGTATAGCTCAGCAGCACAACCCCTGCCTGGCAAGTGCAAGGTCCTGAGTTCAATTTCCGGTACACCCTCCCCAAAGATAAAATAAAATAAAATTGTTTTAAGACAGTCTTGCCAAGTTTCCCAGGCTGACCTGGAACTTGGGATCCTACTATCTCAGCCTCCCATTGAGCAGGATAAAAATGTTAAGTACCACTAGGTGTAGTGATGCACACCTGTGATCCCCAGCACTCAGGTGGCTGAGGCAGAAGGATCCCCGTGAGTTCGAGGCTAGCCTGGGCTACATAAGCGAGTTCAAGACCAGTCTACACTACAGAGACTCGGCCTCAAAAAAAAAAAAAAAAAAAAGTGCATTGTTAGAGAAAATATTGTTTATTTCAGAGATCCCTTAATTTTAGAGAGAATATATGCTTTATTATTTACTCATGGATTGAGTCTTATAGAATATATCAGCATATATTGATACGAACTGTTTTAAATATTAAGGCAGGGGCAGGGAAATAGCTCAGTGGCGCAGGTGCCTGCCTGGCAAGTGCAAGGTCCTGAGTTCGATTCCTAGTACCCCCCAGTAACCAAAAATAAATATTAAGACAAAACATGTAACTGCAATAAGCTTTTCAGACAAGGTTAATTAAAATGTAGCTACTTGGAGACAGCTCAAAACGATGCAGTTATTGCAAAGTATCGCTTTGCGCCCCGATTAATGTGTGCTGCACCTCAAATGCCGCCCTCGGTTACTCGTGTCCCCTGGAGTGCAGAGATGCAGCGGGAGAGGGGGACAGCTGCCCAGCCCTGCGTGGAGGAGGAGATGGAGGGGCCTGGATGGGCGCCTGCCGGAGCTGACGCATTTCTTGGTAAAACGTGAGGGACAGCGAGGCTGTGCTCTGCCCTGTCTCAAACGTATGCCAGTCTCCTCAGCACTTAGTGTCCAGCGTAATTTGCGGGCGCCCTAACCTGAGGACATGTGAGGCCCTTGGGTAAAACCTGTAGGAGCGGAGGAGGTCGGCCTCGGGACGCCTGGCCACGGCTGCTTGCAGCTTTGTCCTCTCCTTGTCCTCGCCTTGTCCTCGCCTTGTCCTCGCCTGGTCCTCGCGTGCGGGGCCGCCCACCTCTGAGCGCCCGCCTTGTTCTCCAGTTGCTCAGAGGACGTTCTCGCAGCGCAGAGCACAGCCAGCCAAGGAGATGGAAGACGCCTTGCAGCTGCTGAGGAACATCGTGCCGGCCCTGACGGGCGAGCAGCACAAGGGCCAGGCCGGCCGCATCGGCGTCGTGGGAGGCTGTCAGGAGTGAGTGTCCGCCCGCTGTCTGTCTGTCCATCCTGAGCCCAGCAGTCCTGCCCACGCGTGGCCCTGGTCGCTCGCGGGCTCCATGCCTCTCTGTCCTAGCCGGCCTCTCCCAGCAGCGCTCCTGCCTTCTCGGTCGGGTGAGAGCTCTTGGCCCACTCTGGCCGGGTGCCACCACGCAGCTTGCTCCGTCCAGGCCCGTGTGCGCTCCCGGGCTTCCGAGCCGCCGCTGGCCTTGGTGCGTGGAGCTTAGTCTGTCCTCACTGCGGGATTCCGCCTGTCTCTGTCCCTGCTCGCTCTGTCTCGGTTATGTGCCATCTCTTCGCCTGCTCTGCACTTCCAGCCACTTACCGTGGAGTTAGGTGCGCTGATTGTAAGTGTGGACCCAGGTTTTGTTCCTCCACAGTATGACCCTGACTGTTTTGTGATGCTGGGGGCTGAACCCAGGGCCTTTACACAGAGCTCCATCCCCAGCTGCATTTCGTTTTGAGAGAAGGTTACGCTAAGTCACTCACTTGCCCGGGGCAGGATGCTGGAAGTGAGGTTGGGTGCAGCTGGCCCAGCGCAGACCCTCCTGTGTGCCCGGTGTCCGCGGCACTCCATTTCCTGGGCGCCGGCAGTGGGAGGAGCCTGAGACTGAGTGGGGAGCAGCGGCGGTGCCTAGAGTCCTATGCGGCCACTCTGGCCTGCGTCAGCAGCCTGCGCCTGCTCGGTGTCCTGCCCCGAGCTGGCATCCCCTCCTCCTCATCTCCCCGCAAAGGCCTGTGTGGGCTGCACCTTGCTGCGCAAAGCCCCGCTGCCACCTGTGGGTCCCACTGCCAGCCCTGCGGGCAGGTCACGGTTGCCAGCCACCTCCCGTGTCCCTGCTGATACTGGCATCCCAGCAGGGTGTTCTTGGTCTTCACTGGTCAAGTCACATTGGCTGCAGCAGCGCCCATCCCCCAGAAGTGTTGACTGAGGCTGGTGTCTTCCTTTCAGGTACACGGGGGCCCCATACTTCGCAGCAATCTCGGCTCTCAAAGTGGTGAGTTTTCTGACAACTTCTTTGCTGGGGCTTTTCTGGTGAGGAGTCGGGTTATTTAAATAGGATTAAAGCTTTTAGGGCTGAGGTCATAGCTCAGGGGCAAAAACAACCCCAGTGATGCCTAATCCCAGCATTGGGGAGGCTGAGGCTGGAGGATCATTGTGATTTTGAGGTCAGCCTGGACTACACAGTGAGATCCTGTCTCAAAAAACAAAGAAGTGACTCTGAAGCAGATGCTGTCTGATAGAAGCCTAAGTAACATCTCAGTGTCATCACAGGTAATAGAAACAGCTCTGCATAGTCTGTCCTGACTTCTTGTGCAGTCACAGAATAACCCGAAACCTGTTAGCTTGCTGTCTCAGACAGGTTTTATTCTTGCTGCATTCACCACAGCGCTTCTGGGACGTGCTTAGGGCCTGGTGTGAGCAGTGGATGCCTTTGAAGCTGTAGTTTCGCTGGGTGTGGTGGCTCATGCCTGTAATCCCAGCAGTCAGGAGGCTGAAGCAGGAGCTTCGCTGTGAGTTTGAGGCCAGCCTGGGCTCCATAGAGAGTTCAGGGCCATCCTGGACTACACAGTGAGATCCTGTCTCGAAAAACAAACAAAAAGAAAGGAAGAAACTGTAGTTTCCCTCATGTTCTGCTCAGCCCCCAAGGCCCAGTGAAGGGCTGGATTCCCAAGCACAGGCTCGGGGCTGGGCGCTGGGCTGCGGCTCACTCTCTGTCTCTCTCCCTCTCTCCTCTCTCTCTCCTCTCTTCTCCTCTCTCTCCTCTCCTCTCCCGCTCTCCTCTCTCTCCTCTGTCTCCTCTCTCCTCTCTCCCCTCTCCTCTCTCTTTCTCCTCCGCTCTCCTCTCTACACACACACACACACACACACACACACCATCCCCACCCGTCTCTCACACACACACACACACACACAC